AAATGCAGATATTTGTTGTTTTTTTTTTTCAAGATGACAAAATTAAATATTGTTTAAAAAGAGATCATGGGATTTATTCAATTCAAACTGCATACAGTGTCACCTGGTTACAAGAGGTTTCTTCAAGTTACAAAAGAATGCACCTAAAATGATCATCAGATTGACTAAAGATTTCATACTCCAGGGTAGAATCTGAGAAATGAGTTTAAATGATTTCAACCTTTGAATGACTCTCGAGATCAACATGGATTCTCAAATTTGCAATTTGACGGGTTTTATTAATTTGACTAGATGTAAGGTACTTCCCTTTGCCCCAAGTACACTTACGAGTAAAGGGTGGTTTATTCAGATAAGTATCATGCCTCTCTGTAAGTAAATCTCGAATGGTGAAACCCCGGTCAGCCATAATCTCATCTCCCGGTGACAGTATATAATCTAAAAAACCAGAATTCATGGTAATGTACCTGTCAGAGGTGTTCCCTCCCCATATTTGAGACACAAAGTTTAAAGCACCTGTTGGTGTAATGCTCACCAGAAATTTAAAGGTGTTGTGAGATTTATATGTACTATATGTCCTAGCATTTACAGAGGGGTCCCTGGTCTCTGTGAAAATCTCTGAACAGTCTATGATAGCTCTGGTCCTTGGAAATTTGTAAAAAGATTTTGGCATGAACTTCTTCACTAGTTCTCGGGATGGCCAGGAAATGAAATCTTTAAACATGAAATACATACATGTATAAAAAATCCAGGTTGAGAATATAGAAGAGATTCTGGAACAAGACACCCCAAATAAATCAGACATAACTACCACTGGCAATGCAAGGCGAAATCGGAGAAGTGTAAGGATCAATTCCTGGTACCTTGATCATGTGTTGATAGCTTTCTAGATGGACCAGGCTTATTCCCTCTATTTTGATAGCTTTTTTCGTTTTCGCTATGTTCACTGGTCCAGTATTTCAAATTTGGTTCATACTTTAATGTTAAGTCACTAATTTTATTAAAAGTTTCTAAATTTGGTAACCCAGTATATTGTTGGATAGATTTGTCATTTTTGGTTACTTTTTCAATGAACAGATTTCTGAAAAATGCATCTTTATCACTGAGTTTTGCCTTTAATTGTTCATTTTCTCTCAAAGTGTTTTTCATGTCTTGAATTGTCTTCAGAAGTGAGGTCTGTCTGTGTACCTTTATCTTCAACATCATCACTGTCTACAAGTGGTCTGCTGTAGCTGTGATCTGTTTCAGTATTTGTGGATGGTGCTAAGTAAATATATACATGATATATAAAAATATATGCATAAATAAAATGCAAACAATTTTCTGTCAATTAACATCTGCACATTTTGTATAATTATACATGTATCGATATAAATAAAAATTCTGAGTACTGATTTATCCCCAGTGCAGTACGTATCAGGGTACATGAATTGAAAATTAATGAGAATTTGTACCTGACTCGGAAAGTTTTTCATTGGTGCAAGACTCTACAACTGTTTCATACACAGCAAATGGCAGGCCCACACTTATGTCTACTGGTACGTGCTGCTGAGATGACGATGACACTTGCAGCATATGTGCTGGGTCTGTAAAAGATAGTTTTTTATTACTAGTCCAAAAGAACTTCATTGAATGTACAAGATGCAAACTATAGAAAATATGTCATTTGAGTACATTTTCCCCCTACACTGCTCGGGTCATATTATGAGGACAGCTCTATTTACAATAAATTCATTCCATATAACAGGCCAGGCTGTCCCTAAGCCCTTAGAGCCAGGGAATTCCCCGTTTAGTCAAATTAGTGGCATATGATGCCCTGGTTATTTCGGTATTGTCCCTCAATTTACTGTTAGAGAAAGAACCCCAAGTCTTCCTTCTACTTTTTAAATGCAACCCACTACCTCAAATTCTTGGGGACAACCCTGCATATCTTCTTCTTACCAGGTAATGTGTATTTGGTAAAGATCGTAACCTCAGATGTTAGTTATTAATACATGTAATCATATCAAATTAAGATGGCTATAAGGTAAATAATAAATAATTGTGCTAAGACTGGACCTACGTCTGATATGAACAGCTAGCTGATAAAGGTGATCTTAGCACAAAAATGCATACATTAATGATAAGTAATTTGTATACTTTTAGCTGTTTGTCTTTATGTAGGGTTGGACCATATATTTACATTGTCATACCTGAGTTTTCCTTGTCTTGGAATGCAGGTGCTGTTGCACTTTGCTCCATTGCTCGTTCTCGCTTCTCAATAGACAGAGGTTTTGTTGTAGATACTGATTTGTAATTATTCCATGGGAAAAGTTCTGGGATTGTATGATTTTCTGAGCAACAATTTCCTACGAAATGTTTCTTGCAAACTCTGTGATGAGTTAAAGGTTCATATTCTTTGGGGCGCCATATCATGGTGATCCATTTCGCTCGAAGTTTTGGCTCTTTGCGTTTTGTTGGGAAGGGTTCAAAGGAGACATCCTCCATCCAAGGATATTTTCTAGTTTATTTTTCTTTCTTGAATCAGAATTGCACCCTAGTACAACACACCAATACTTGCCCTTTGATTCAGGAGTATTTTTTTGACCCACCGTGATTTGTTTACGTTTCATAAAACCCCGCGTCAAAATGTGCCTAACTTTTTACAGAGTCACATGATCAGCATAGACTAAAAGTAGAGTCGTATTTTACGGATCAGAGAAATGACTTATTAAATCGTTTTAGTAAGTAGCCTACTAGTATCTTATTTAATGAATTTGAGAATAAGTAATTCAAACTAATATATGATACTGTATAATAAACTTATTTGATATTGTATATAATATAATTAAAACTAATTATACTAGGGGGGTGGGGGTTGTTGGAATCAGCATGCCCATTTTCCATATGATTATGAATTTCAGATTGAAACTTTAAGTCTGATTTTAGATCCAAATAAATCATCAAGTATTTAAAAAAAAAGGTAGATAGTCCATACAAATCTAAGAATCATATAGGAACCTTATTCAAAATGATGCATCAAGATTACACAATTTTTTTCAGTATATTAATCTTTGTAACAAAGAATAAGTGCACTTAAGTACGTCATTTGGAACCTTTTTGGCTACCCATTTTAAGCTTAACATTACAATATATCGCTAGATTAATCTATGATTTATGTGCAAGCATATGCTTTTGATATTTATTTCTAGAATTTTTTGTCATATTTCTATAATTACAGAAAATGTAATTGAAAAGAACATGTAAAAGCCTTAAATTCTGGAAATTTGAACGGGACCACTTTTGAATCTAAGGTATCCGCAAATAGGCGGAGACATTTAAACCGCATGGTTGTGAAATGTAAACATAATAGCACATATGATTTTTTCGCATTGCGAATTGAAATGGAGAAGAGAGAGAGATCGTGTTGATTTCATGGTGCACAATTATTTAATGATTCTAATGTTAAGGGATGGGGTAAATGTCTGTGCAGACCATTATACAGAGGCAACATAAGCCTATACATGTACTTACTAATGACACTGTCAATACCAGAATTCTTTCAAAACACCCCTAATGAAAAGCATAAAGATAAATAAGAGACATACTATCTTCAAACCCTATTAAAATTTGCGCAAAAATCTCCCATAGTTTGAAGTTGGAAGTACGATAGATATGTCACAACAGTGACTTAAACACAATGAAATTTTCAATGAAAGCGTTATCGTATCGAACAGCAGAAGGTCACATGAGAAAGGTGATTATAATATCAATCTTTGTTGCTCAGTGGCCGGTTAATTTAGTAGCTATCTCGACCCTGGTTTGGGGACATTTTTTTAAAAATTAGATATGAGCCGCAACTTGGCCAACATTGTCCTTTGGATATGTATAAGTTTAAGTTAAAATACATATTCTGTGCAAATAAGAAAAATGGCCAAGTTGCGGCTCGATGTAAACAAAGTCGTTGAAAACTGGTATGCATATGAATAACAATAGAAATGAGACAAAACTGTTAGACCCCCGTCTCAAAAGCTAGTGTCGTTCGGCATTATTTAATACTTTCATGTAATATAATATACCAAAACCTGCTCTTAAGACATTGTTTAATACCTATAAAACATAAATTTAATGAATTTTGGAATTTTATTTTGCGCAAAACATCGGGATCCAACTCTCATAGCTTAAGTGCACTCATAAAAATCTTTATACAAAATCTTTGTTTTTCAGAATTAATTTCAGAGTGACACAATTATGCATTTTGATAGCACTGCAAAGGAGATAGTTAAAATCCATTCATCCCTTGACATTAATCAGTGGACATGCATCCAGTCAAAGATTTATTAATGAGTTCATTGTAGGAAAGCCCCTGTCTCAATCATTTCTGATCAAGGAGCTCTTATCTGTGTCCTTTGGGAATTAGACAGAAGAACTGCTGGTCAGTTTAAATAGCTTATGTCATTTGATGGCCAGCCTTCTATACTAATCATATGATTTGGTATTGATGTTTTATTTGGTTGAACTTTACTTTCATTAATTAAAAAAAATATAATGAGCATGCAATCATATTTTCACTCGAATTGTTTTTATGAGAGTAGTGAACACCTCTTAAGATTCATTAAATATTTGTAAATTGGCACCTACTCTGAAAAACCCAGCGGGGGTATATGTCCCTATTGGACAGTTCTTAAGTTGTATTTAACAAATACTAGAGATTTACTTGTATACAATGTAAGAGGAGAGAAACTGGACAATTTTGAATACATTATAAAGCTAAATGTTTAAGGCCTTTTTTTATTGATCCAGATCTACAAGTCTGTTAGTGTGCCAGTGAGGGAATCCCTAGTGATGACCATCAAAGCCATTCTGCTCCCCCAGGACGACGGGACATGCCTCCTCCAACAGACTTTGCCTGTGACAGGGGATGGTAGCAGTCTCAGTAATCAGGTGTGTCGTGTGGTGGCCAAGCTACAGACCCAAGCCTGTACGGTGCTCACTCAGTATCTACAGGACATCAAGTTCACTATAAGGAGTTCATTCAGCATTGTGGATCCACTATTGATTTTCTGAATTCCCTGGCAAAGGATTGTAATTCAGGTTTGTGAAATTTTGTTACTCATTTTTTTTTTCACTAAATTTTTATTAACAAATGATTAGCTGAGACATTTTACATGTACTAAACTACATGCTGATAAGAAATTGTATTTTTATATTACAGGAGGTAGACTGTTGTGGAAGCCCACTGCAACAGACTTAGGCTACCATACAGGGATTGTGCTAAACCTCCACCTCCACCCAGCAAGCTTGACAGTCGGGCTGTGAGTAAGTTGAAATGATTAAAAATGAAAAATTTCTGGATTAAGCAAACTTAAAGCTTTGTTTACAAAGAGCTCAATCTTTAAACTCAAACGCAGCATCATTAAATAAGTGAAGTACAATGCTTATGAATCTGAAAAATGAGTCTTTATTAAATATAGTACATGTATACACTTTGTCAAGTTAAAAATTGTAAGCTGTGTTTTGTACAGAATCAGGAGATGTTGCTGGACGCCAGTCGATCTTTCCCCCCCATCCGGGCCTTGGTATTCTCTCAGGACATGACTGGAGTGACCTTCCTTGGTGACCCCAGCACAGGAAGTGGACTACCCTGGGGCACCATGATCTATGCCAACCAACCAGTTCCACAACAGGTAGAGCAATACCAGGAAAAAAATTCTTTCATAGAAGTCATTAAATTTTTATATTCATGTGCATGCCTCTATCCCGCACCTCAGATCTCCACATATTTTCCTTATTCAAAATAAGGAAAAAATGCGGACGGGAGTATTTGGACTAATTTTCCGCATTCATTCCAGATTTTCGTAGATTCAAATTTGATTTTCTCCGTATTCAAAATATGGAGAAAATGTGGAGGAGTATGGACTCTTTTTCCGTATTCTCTCCAGATTTCCGCATTTCCATATATACAAAATATGGAGGTATTTACTTGGTTGATAAAATGCGGAAATACGGAAATCTGGAGAAAATACGGAGTTAATCACATGGTTATAAAATGGCTAATAAAACCGCTACATGATGCATACATACATAAATATTTACAAAACCATCAACAATGTGCAAAATTATATACAATTTATTATATCATTATGAGAAAAAAACATATAAATGAATGAACAAAATTACACATTATGTTCATGAGCAATGTATTGGATCTTATATCTTTGACAAACAAATAGGAGCATGTATGGAAAAAAAACTGGAACTCTTATTTAAGCCACAAGTTCATCATGGAAAAAATGTGGCATTTTTTTTATATTCATATTAAATAAATGGAAATTTATTCATTCTATTTAAGCAAAAGTGGGAGTGAAATGTTCAACACTATTAGGTATTGGGGAAAAAATAACAATTGACATAGCATTGAATATTTACAAAACAAGAAAAATTTTTAGACATTTTTTATCAATCTGGATCACATTTGCCATTTTCTACCTGCATCCCTGATTCATATTTCTCACAATTCATTTTATATCTCAGGTCTGTGCTTTACACCCATCTGTCCAATAAAAAATTTCTTCAGACTTCTTTGTATTAATTTGTAAGGTCTCTGCATGTTTAATTTCTTGCAGCATTTTTATCAATTACTTAAATTATAATGGTGCAATATTAATAAAATTTAAATTCATTGCTTTTATTCCTTTTAAAATCTTTTTATAAACACAAGTTTGGGTTCTTCAATTTAATATCAATTTGTTTAAAATATTATTTATAATAATGACAATCATAGTTGACTGTTTTTAATTATTAAACAAGCAATAAAAAAAGAAAAAAAGAATATATATACCTCAAACATAACCATCCATGGACCAAGCTTTAAGCCCGTTAAAATCACAGCAAGTTGAATAAGCACTTATTCTTTTTCAGAAATCTCCTCATGCACAGACGCTACCAAAAAAAAAAAATGTATGGTAAATCATTGCTAGAGATTACAGCCCATGGCTCCCCAAAATTAACACCTTTAATTGTGGTTAACCATAATAAAATTCTTTGAGCTGATTGAAAGATTTGAATCATGGGCATATTGGCTGAAACGTACATAGCCTGGTAGCTAAGTCCTAGGCCTAGAGTATTTATTTTCATCATCACAGTGACACACATGTTAAAAAAAATATGACTGACCTACCGCATATGAAATACGTGTATCTGCATCTTTTGGTTGATACAGCAATACGATCTCAGGCTGTCTGGTCAACAAACTTCTTCCTTTAGACAAAAGACGTTGCAACAGAGAAATTTTGGCGGTCTGTTGTTTAAATTAATTGATCACTGAGCCCGACTTTTTTTCCGATCCCGATCAAATTGTACATAACATTCAGGAGAAACAGAGAACTGCTGTTAACTCCAAGACAGTTTTTATGCACCCAAATTTTTTCGGGGGCATATTGTTTTTGTCCTGTCTGTCTGTTTAGCTGTATGTCTGTCTGTTTGTTTGTCTGTTGTCAACTTTAAGCCATAACTTTTGAACTGTGAGACTTAGAGACTTCATATTTGGTATGGATACTCCACTACAAAAACACTTTCAACTGACACCAAGGTCAATGACCTTATGACCTTGATTGTGACCTTTATGCTAAAAATAGCTTTTTCGAACTTTCGCCATAACTTCTGAACCGTGAGAGATAGAGACTTCATATTTGGTATGCATACTCCACTAATTAGGCACTTTCAACTGACACCAAGGTCAATGACCTTGTGACCATGACTGTGACCTTTATGCTAAAAATAGGTTTTTGGAACTTTCGCCATAACTTCTGAATGGTGAGAGATAGAGACTTCATATTTGGTATGCATACTCCACTAATTAGGCACTTTCAACTGACACCAAGGTCAGTGACCTTGACTGTGACCTATATGCTAAAAATAGCTTTTTCGAACTTTCGCCATAACTTTAAAACGTGAGAGATAGAGACTTCATATTTGGTATGCATACTCCACTAATTAGGCACCTTCAACTGACACCAAGATCAATGACCTTGTGACCTTGACTGTGACCTATGTGCTAAATATAGCTTTTTTCGAATTTTGCCATAACTTTTGAACCATTGATGATAGAGACTTAATATTTGGTATGCATACTACACTAATAAAGTGCTTTCAAATGACACCAAGAACAATGATTGTGTGACCTTGTGAGACCCATTTGCTAAAAATTGCGGAACTTAATGTTGCCGCCAGCTGCTACTGTGTCTCACAAACACATCTTGTTCTTGATGAAAAAATTCTAAGTCCAGAGCTCCGTATTTTTTCCGGATGAAAAATATTCTAAGTTAAGAGTTCAATATTTTTCCAGATGAAAAATAGACTAAGTCCAATTCTCCGTATTATTTCCGTTTATTTTCCGTATTATTTCCGCATATTTTCTGCTTTTCCATATTGGGGATTTTTTTCCACATTTTTTCCATATTAAAATGAGGAAAAAATGCGGAATAATGCGGAAATCTGGAGATCTGAGGTGCGGGATATTACAATTCACTGAATGCCGTTACATTGAATTTAAAAATATTTCCTCTGCATAGCAGAGGAAATACCGTAAAAGCTAATTTCTATTGCATAAATGCCTTGAAAATAAAGAATTTAATCTTTATTCTTTTAAAATTTAGCATAAGTTAGAATTCACCTATATTCCTTTAAATTTCTATGTGTACATGAAACCCAGTAATTCAAAACTGAACAAAAAATATTGAGAGAGAAACAGTTGCCCCATTTCTTTACTTTTAATACAGGCTCCCGCGTTTTACTGGGAGCTGGAGATGTGTTTGTTTGGTGACAGTCAGGAGTAGAGTGGTGCAGTCATCTCGTTTGGCTTCGCTCTGTCGGCCGACAGGAAAGATGGAGCCTGGACTAACCCTGTGGAACATGCCTCTTCCTAAAGTAAGTCCTTCAGTATAATTTGAGTTTTTCTATAGTTTAACATCTGCATAACATGTAGCCTTTAATTCAAGGGAGAATTTTTCTCTGTATCATTGGTTAATTTTGTTCTCAGGATAAAAAAAAATGTGATCAGCAATAAATGTTCTGTAGCAATGGTAAGGCTGTCCACTACAGTGGGGCCAGTCTACTTCATTGGAGGAGTGTTAGACTAGACATCACCCTGAATGCTGGGGACATAGCGGGTATAGGGTGGGAGAGGACAGGAGAGTCCCCCGTACAGGGACAGACCCCCAGGGGGAGGTTCTACTTCAGTGGAGGAGTATTAGACTAGACATCACCCTGAATGCTGGGGACATAACGGGTATAGGGTGGGAGAGGACAGGAGAGTCCCCTGTACAGGGACAGACCCCCAGGGGGAGGTTCTACTTCACGTATAATGGGCACCGCCTCAATGCCTACATGGATGATGTGTTGGGTGGAATGTATCCTGTTGTTCATATTCAGAAAAAGGTGAGGTGCTTTTTTATAACACCCCTCCCCTCTCTCCAATGTTTTATTTTAATTTATCTGAGATTCAAAGATGCAGAATTTGCATAACTTGATATCTGTATGTATGCTGACTGGGGTTTATTTTTTAGAACACAAGAATCGGAGCAAACTTTGGAACGAGGCCTTTTGCTTTTGCCGAGGGATAGCAACACAAGGAGGGGGCTGATGCAGTGAATGACCTGACCAGAGAGATCAGGGAGAGTTTCTGTCACCTGCCATTCCACCCCCACACTGACAAAGAGAACAAGGGAAGCCCCCAGCCCTGATTCCACCATGGTGGAGGAAATCAAAGCCCCGAAAGGACCCCAATGTAAAACTGCTACCATACCAAAACCACAGAATGGTACTTTATCTGTTTATCACAGTTAATATTACTATAGTTTCTGTAGACGTACTTTTTTCAATGGGTTCATAACTCAGCGGAATCTCAATTTCCATTTAATCAGCGGATTGAAATTACGTGGATTTCTTAGACTGTCACTATATGCCTTGCATCTATGTTAAGTATGCTTGGACAAATTTCCGTGGAAAATTTGTGACCACGTATATAGTGTAAATTTATACCATGCGAAAAAAAGTACCGGTACTTAAGTTTGACAGTGGAAAACATTATTTTCTTATCCTTTCAATATGTATGAAACTGTTACTTTAATGATAATGGTTCCTCCCTCTTTCTAGTCCATCTTAAAGACATAAATTAGAATGGACATTTGAATGAATGTGTTGCTGTAGTAATCTAACAAAAGTTAGGTCTTAAGAAGTTGTAATTTCAATGAGCACAAATCTCCCTTCTATAAGTTTGAGCCTTTTTTTCAGTGTACAACCCAGAAGATCGTCTAGCTTTCAAGCTGTTGTAAATGTTTATCTTTGAGAAATTCCCTTTTATGTGTACTTTTTGTTCTTCATACATATACATGTAAATATGTATTCCTTAGGCATGACAGATATTGCTCGACATACAGCTGAGTTTCTTTATGAAGAGAATGAGTGGTTAAGGCGATGGACTAGAAATCCGAGGAATACCACGAGATCTCCACCTGCCCACTATAGAAAACATTAAGGAGGATCTAGCTAAGTTTACAATAGAGAGAGTGAGGAAGGACACCACCGCGGTGATCAGGAACATCGCAGAAACCTCCACCGCAGGCACCACAGTGCTGCCCAAGTTTGCTGTCCACAGTATGCTCAAAACATTTGGTCTGACTGGAAATGTCCTAGATGTTGACAATGTAAGCCTCTCATTTATCATTATTTATGTTGCACATGTAAGTTGAGCATTTGTAAAAGCCAATTGTTTTTAAGCTGGAGAGTAGATATAAGGCAATGGCATAAAAAAAAAATGAAAATTTTGTAAGATGAGTACAGCAAAACTTGTTTAGTACGAACATGGATATTGCGAATTTACGGGTATAGCGAAGTCATCTTGGATCCCCAGAAATGTAAAATTGATAGATTTCTTATACGGTTATAACAAATTACTAATATAGCAAAGTAAATTCATAGGTCCCAGTGATTTCGTAATAACCGAGTTTTGCTGTTTTTAAAAATGCCTGATTCATTTCATTTCAGTCTAATTAGTACAAGATGAGGTGTACCTGAGAAGTGAGGGTGTCCTGGTCAGGTTCTGGTACCCTGATGTTAGAGAGGCCCTCACAGGGACTGAGAAAGTCCAGCATCACCGGGGGAGATGTTAGAGAGGCCCTCACGGGGGCTCAGAAAGTCCAGCATCACCGGGGGACGTTAGAGAGGCCCTCACGGGGGCTTAGAAAGTCCAGCATCACCGAGGGATGTTAAAGAGGCCCTCACGGGGAGTTAGAGAGGCCCTCACAGGGACTGAGAAAGTCCAGCATCACCGGGGGACAGATACTAGACACTTCTGTTAGAGAGGCCCTCACAGGGACTGAGAAAGTCCAGCATCACCGAGGGATGTTAGAGAGGCCCTCACGGGGACTGAGAAAGTCCAGCATCACCGGGGGACAGATACTGGACACTTCTAATGTCTTCATACACAGGTACGAAAATGGAAAAGTGATATCATAATAGAACAAATAAAATCAGATGCTTTTTTTGTGTAACTTATGCACTGAAAATCTTGAATTTTGTTGGGAAGTCTTATTAAGTGAAAAGCCCGGCCAGTGCAATGTGTTGTTGTTGATTCTGAATGTAATTGTTTGATTATTTTACAGAGAGCTGTTGAGTAGTGAGTCCTTGCTGGCCAAGATGTTCTGTAGGACAGCTCTGATAAAACTGATCGACCACTGTAACTCCCCAGCTATTGAGATTGTCTCCTGTTCTGCCAGTCTCGGCTCAGGAATGGCTGCCAGTGCTACCCAACAGTTAGACATTGAAAACCTGTAATTATTGTCCAATGAACTTTTATGTCCACCTTTAACCCATGGCACTGTCATAGCAACAAATCTGACAACTTCACCCTCATTGGTCCAGTGCTTAGCCAATCAGATGAGTTCTCTTACGAAGATATTGTTTAAAGATGAGGATAAGTTAACGAGAGAGCTGGCTGTCACCATTGCTAGAGCTGCCAATCAAGGAGAGGATTATTTGATTGAATTGACAACCCAGATCTGCATAATTATGCTTCCAGGTATTTTTTTAAACACCTTGAATGTATTCCATTAAGAAAATCTATTAAATTGTAAACATAGTCTAAAAGAAATTCAAGAATTCATATTTTTTTCAATTGAAAGAGCCTTTCATTTTGTGCAAACTGAAGGTCAATGACAAAACTTCAGGACAGGTCAAGGTCAACTAGGGCTAATTGTAACGGGGACCGTTACAGATGTTCCCCAAACGCTCCCCATGTCCCTTTTTCCTTATATTATGAGTTTCAAAGCATTTCATCAAAAATTTAAAAGGTTACGGCTATATCTATCATATTGGTCATTTCACGCGTTACACGTGTGCGCACATGCACGCACGTGCGCGCAAAATGACCTTCGTTCCGCACATCTACATAACATACCTAGTGACCCTAAAAAGGTTTCACCTAGATCGGATGAGTAGTTTACGAGAACACTCGCGGACAAAAAAAGTACCGGTCGGGAGAAGAAAATTCAGAAAAAAAGTAAAAACAATATGTTCCCAAACTTCGTTTGGGGAACATAATAAGGAGACTAATTGTTCAGATTACAATTTTGATTTTAATTCAGGTAACAATATGAAGCCTTTTCACCTTCTTGAGTGTTTTCATATCATTGGGCTTCAAGAAAAGAAGTACAAAGCAAAACAATGAATAAAACAGCAAAATTCTAATTTTCTACTACCGTGATTTTAAGATCGGGCTCGGAGTTGGTTTTATTCAATTTTAGTTCCATACATAGAAAAGGGATTTTCCTTTAATCTGTTCAGATTTTTTTTTATATATCTCCTCTCTGGTCATTTTGACAACTCTGGTACCTGTGCCTAGTAAATTTTATATACTATGTAAATAAATATATACATGTAAAGGTTTTTGACCGGAACTATTTATTTTTGCCAATGCATAGGAGGCTACTTTCTGGGGTTTACAACAGATATTTATAAAGACATTCGTATCAGCTAATGTGACCAATATTCTTTAAGACCTTCTTATTAATATATTTTTCATGAATGCAAATACCTGATATTTTTTTTTACGAAGGAGCATACATGTATATTGATTTTGAATTTCTGGGGATTGCGTAATTCTAAAAAAAAAATCAATTAAATTTCAAAGGTTAAATAAACAAAGGATGCTTGGTATTAAAATATTGTTTCAAATCAGTAGAATTGAATGCTATTAACGACATCCGAATAAATACATGTAAACATAGAAGGCTTATATACCAACTTTGTTCATCTGTACTTTATTTTCGAACACGACAGGATTTGTAATTAATTAAATTAATAATTTCTATATACTTTGAAAACTCACATCAAATATTTTAATACTCTTTCCTCGAGCTCTTTTCTGCCGTTTCCTTGAGATGTTATGTGGGTCCGAGGTGTAATTTGAGCTTTACAGCGATTCTCTACTTTGTGTGTGTGTGTGTGGGGGGGGGGTGGGTTCTTTCTACCCTTGGGTTAAGGTCAAAGGTTAAGGTCGATTTCAAGTTCATAGGTCAAGGTCATTTTGGTAAATAGCTAATATCAACATTTTATTCAGGTTACTAGTGACCTTGACCAAAGTATCAAGGTCAAGGGTAAAAAGAGCTGCTTCAGTATGTTACATGTCTTTACATTTAGAAGTTCTTAAATCTGCATGAACATCAAAAGATTTAAGTATACTGTTGTTTAACGCATTGTGTGTGCGCGCATGTGCATGACGTCCTTGCATTTACTTTTGATGGTAGAATAATGTAGGCATTCATTATATCTATTCATATTCGAAATTTCACCCTGTATTATCGAGAACTAAGAAAGTTTTAGGCATTTAAACTTTTAGCCAATCAGATTGCAGCACACGTGCATGTGCGTGCGTTCATGATTATTCTTATATGTCATGCTGTAGATCTTCATAATGTATGACTATGTTCAAAATTTCAAAGGATTTTGTCGGAAAACAAAAAAGATATAAAGACTTTAGTTTCAGCCAATCGGAACGAAGCACACGTGCATGCGCGTGAGATCTTGCTATTTTGACCATGTCATCATGTCTATACTACTATTATATCCTTATATTATGAGTTTCAAAGCATTTCATCAAAAATTTAAAAGGTTACGGCTATATCTATCATATTGGTCATTTCACGCGTTACACGTGTGCGCACATGCACGCACGTGCGCGCAAAATGACATTCGTTCCGCACATCTACATAACATACCTAGTGACCCTAAAAAGGTTTCACCTAGATCGGATGAGTAGTTTACGAGAACACTCGCGGACAAAAAAAGTACCGGAGAAGAAAATTCAGAAAAAAAGTAAAAACAATATGTTCCCAAACTTCGTTTGGGGAACATAAATATGGAGGTGAAAGAGCACATAATGCTGATACTTTTTAAAAGTATAATTTGTTACAAATTCTTGTTTGCTTTTATTTCAGACTGCCCCTGAGATGTTTCCCTATGAAGAATTTCCTCTTTCAGAGGTCAAGGTTTACACAAACCTCCACTTTCCAGAAATACATGTAAACTTTATGCTTCAGGCATTGCTTTGGAAAGCATTCCTTTGAGGTTTGCCCTCCTTCAGTCCCTTAATAATACTTTGGAAACCTTCTTGCTCCTGGTGGACCTCAGACCTACAACAGAAGTACAGCGGCTCTCCTGTCTCAGCTGAGGGCACTGGTACTCTATGACACCAAGATTAACCTGATGAACCGAGTTCTGAACGCCACCAAGCAGAGAAAACAAGACCAGGCCGCACCGAAAATAGCCCTGGATCCACTGGAGACATGCAGTCACAAGTATGTATCTCATCATATGAAATATATTTGATGTTGAGTTTGTCTGGTCTTTTACAATATCATGTATATGTTGATTCAGGAAATTATAAAAGCAAAATTTCAAACAGTCTACATGTATAACAAAACATTTCTGATTCAATATCAAGTAACACAGAATAGAATCTTAATTTATTTTGATTCAAAATTCATCAATTGAGATTACTTAGTATTACTTAAGCATTGAATTCATATTTCACGGTGACCTACTTTTGACATTTAATAGCTTTATTTTAGCATCTTAGGTATTAATAAGCTTAGAATCATCAAACTTTGTGAGTTGAAGCATCTTGGGTTTTCGGAGAGCCCATAATGACCAAAAAGTAGGTCATGGTGACCTACTTTTGACATTTTATAGATTTATTTAAATATCTTAGTTATTTATAAGCTAAGAATCATCAAACTTTGTGGGTTGATGCATCTTGGGTTTTCGGAGAGTGATGACCAAAAAGTAGGTCACGTTGACCATTTTGACATTTTATGGCTTTATTTAAGGATCTCTGGTACTTATTGGCTTAGAATCATCAAACTTTGTCAGTTGATGCATCTTGGGTTTTCAGAGAATGGCAACCAAAAAGTAGGTCATGGTGACATTCTTTTGAATATCTCAGGTACTTACTGGCTGAGAATCATCAAACTTTGTCAGTTGATGTATTTTGGGCTTTCGAAAATCGCCTAGTAAAAATTAGGTCACAGTGACCTACTTTTAACATTTTATGGCTATAATTAAGTATCTCCAGTACTTATTTGCTTGGAATAATCAAACTTTGTCAGTTGATGCATTTTGGGTTTTCCAAGAATGTAGATGAAAAAGTAGGTCCAGGTGACTTACTTTTGAATATCTCACATACTTATTGGCTTAGAATCTTCAATCTTTGTCTATTAATGCATCTTGAGTCCTCAGAAAACTTCAATCTTAAAGTAGGTCATTGTGACCTACTTATGGTTTTTTATAGCTTTATTAAAATATCTTCAGTTATAATTGGCTAGGAATCATCAAACTTTGTCAGTTGATGCAACTTGGCTCTTAGAATACTTAGGGTTAGAGGCTTCAAATAGAAGTGATAGGTTGTACAGTTTATCAGAAGAGCAATTCAAGGCCCTTGGGCCTCTTTTTCTTTATCATAATTGTTTCTTTCCATCATGTTTAATGTGAATTTAGCGCCCTTCGGTATTGGCCTGCTTGACAAACGTAATAGCCGTTCGTGACATCGAAAAGCTGTCTGTGATGTTGGAAAGTTAAATAACGCAAATAAACATTGCGAGGAAATAAAATGACAAATTAGTTTTTAATGCGTTTTCGCCGTATTTTATGTTAATTTTACAAGGGTAGTTTTTTTTAAATGAAATTGAGTCAAAACAATATACATCTAGGTATTCCTAAATACTATAAATGTATGTAGGCCCTTCTGTGTATTCTACCATGCTGTGACAAGGTTTTGCATGTGTTATAGAAAGTTGAACATCGTGGATTTCTAATGGATTAAATGAAGAAAATTACGCTGAATGTAAATATAATATTGTAACTCATTGGAAGTAAGTAATGAATAATTGTATACATTCAGAATACTAGCAACAATGATAATAATGTAGCTTTGATTAATTCCACTTGATATATTGGATGGTACCCTCTGTTGTAGAAGATGTGAAAAACTGCCCAGCGACCTGGTCGTGTCAGGCCTACAGACAGCTGCTGATTGTTCTGTCTCGTCAGTTCTGTGTGAGACTGCCCGGCGACCTGGTTGTGTCAGGCCTACAGACAGCTGCTGACTGTTCCGTCTCGTCAGTTCTGTGTGAGACTGCCCGGCGACCTGGTTGTGTCAGGCCTACAGACAGCTGCTGATTGTTCCTTCTCGTCAGTTCTGTTTGAGACTGCCCGGCGACCTGGTTGTGTCAGGCCTACAGACAGCTGCTGACCATTCGGTCTCGTCAGTTCTGTGTGAGACTGGCCAGTGGAGGAAACCTGACCTACACCTTCAGTTTACGCCTCACGGGGGAGGAGGTCCATGGAACTAGTATGTTAACATCAAAAATATATGTAGTACTGTATGCAGGAAAATTTTCGCCAGTCAGTTTTATTTTTGCCCCTTTCACCCTTACCTTTATTGGGTGAATTTAAAAATGGACGAATTCAAAGAATACCATATAATTTCTTTAACAAAACTGACTGGGCGAATTTTAA